GTTAGATCAATCATATTCACCACTCATGTACCAAAATTTCTCTGGGGAGAGGTTGTTCTCACTGCTACTTACTTGATAACCTGGATGCTCTCCAGTGTCGTAAAGTTCCAATCACCTTACACCATTCTTTCACAAATCTTTCCTGAATCTCATATTTTAAACACATTACCACTCAAAGTCTTTGATTGTTCAGCATATGTTCATATTCACACTCATCTCTGTGGAAAACTTGACCCAAGGGCCCTTAAATACATCTTTGTTGGGTACTCTGCTAATTAGAAAGGATACAAATGTTTAGTTCCGAAAATCCGTTGATTTTATAACACAATAGATGTCACATTTTTTGAAAACTAACCATTTTACCTCACAATTGATATTCAGGGGGAGACATTACTCATAAATATCAATTGTGGGATGTAATCATAACTCTTCTATATCCACATAGTCACTCTCCACCAGAAAAACCCTCTCTGGAGCCTGAACCTATAACCTCACATAAACATAAAGAACCTGAACCAAAACCAGTTAAAGAGAACACAGTACCTGCAACTAGTGAGTCACATGTCTATACTAGAAGAAACAAAGGGAAGGCACCTGAATCATCCAAGCCTTGCCATGAATCTACCCTTGATCCTGGTGCCCAAAAATTGACAGGTAATGAGACTTCTATTCCTCCTACAGATACTGACATTGACATGCCTATTGTTTTGAGAAAATGAACTCGGATATACACCAAACATCCTATACAGGACTATATTTCATTAGACAAGTTGTCTTCAGAACATCATACTTTTGTGTGTAGGTTAGACAGTAGCTCACCAGAGCCTAAAACAATCCATAAAGCTCTAAAAATACCTGAATAGAGGATGGTTGTTCAAGAGGAAATCAAGGCACTTGAAAAGAACAGAACATGGAATTAATTGACCTACCTCCAGGGAAACACCTAGTGGGGTGCAAGTGGGTCTTCATAACTAAATACAATTCAGATAGAAGTGTGAATCGGTATAAGACTCGACTAGTAGCCAAAGGCTACACTCAGTCATATGGGATAGACTATCAAGAGACATTTGCTCTGGTAGCCAAACACAATACAATTCGAGTACTTCTCTCACTCGCCTCTAATCTTGATTGGCCACTCTGTCAGTTAGATGTGAAAAATGTATTTCTTAATGGTGATTTAGAGGAAAAAGTGTATATGAAAATGCCACCAGGATTTGAACTAGCAGACAGTCCTCAGAAAGTATACAAGCTGAAAAAGTCACTATATGGTTTAAAACAATCTCCAAGGGCATGGTTTGATATATTCACAAAAGCAGTGAGACGGGAAGAATATAACCAATGTCAGTCTGACCATACACTATTTGTCAAGCATTGTACCTCAGGTAAGAAAGCTATCTTGATTGTTTATGTAGATGATATCATCCTTACAGGAGATTATATTGAGGAGATTCAGAAACTCAAAGAATTCTTAACCAAAGAGTTTGAAATTAAAGATCTCGGAGTACTAGAGTACTTCCTCGGAATGGAAGTGGCTAGATCCAAGAAGGGAATCTCGGTATCTCAACGAAAGTATGTTCTGGATCTTCTGAAAGAGACTGAGATGCTATGAAGTAAGTCTGCTGACACTCCTATGGATCTAACCAACAAACTTGGATCCAAAATCGGTGATAAAACAGTTGATAGAGAAAGGTATCAAAAACTAATTGAGAAGTTCATCTACCTAGCACATACAAGACCCGACATCAGTTTTGCAGTAAGTACAGTGAGTCAATTCATGAATCAGCTAACTGAGGAACACATGAAAGCGGTATATCGAATTCTAAGATACCTAAATATGACTTCAGGGCAAGAATTGTTCTTTCAAAAGACAATGAAAAGAGATGTTGAAATCTACACTGATGCAAATTGGGTAGTCTCAATAAATGACAGACGGTCTACATCAGGGTATTATACCTATGTTTTGGGAAACTTAGTCACCTTACGTACCAAGAAATAATTAGTTGTATCTCGTACCAGTGCAGAATCTGAGTTTAAAGCACATGCTCATAGTATATGTGAAAGTATATGGCTAAGAAGGATACTTGTCGAACTAAAGGTTCCTAACAACATTCCTATGAAAATTTGGTGTGATAATCAATCAACCATCAGTATGGCCAAGAATCCTGTACATCATGACAGAACCAAGCATGTGGAGATTAATCATCACTTTATTAAAAAGAAGTTAGAAGATGGTACTAAAACACTCATGCACATTCTAACTAGTCAACAGATTGCAGACATCCTAACAAAGACTCTACCAAAAAGGACCTTTGATAACATAACATCCAATCTAGGTTTACTCAACATATACGTAAACTAAATTGAGGGGAATGTAGAAAATAAAAGAATCAATTCAGTTTTATTTTTTGTTGTTATTAGCCTAGGGGAGGTAACCACAAAGTTGGTGAGGTATAACAGATTTTGTTATTCCTCCTTCCCTTAAAAATTTGTTAGAATTTTGTTAGGTTTTGTTAGAATTTGCTTGTATGTTTTCTATAAATTGACTCCTTATGGTGATGAAAAAGTAATAAGCAGAAGTAGAATTTCCATTCTCTAAATCTTCATATTATTTATCCAAATATCTTTCCAAAATCTAATTTTATTGCCCCTGCCAGCCTTCCACAATAGATTCTCCAAAAAACTAGACCACTACATCAAGATTTTACTCCATAAACTCAGTCCCACGTTTTATAATTTTTATATTTAGCACCCAGTGGCATCCCAAGCTATTTGATCATAAATGTAACTACCTTGCATACCAACACCCTCGCAAGTTGCGCTTCATCTCTCTTATCTCCAATTCTCACAAGTTCAAGTTTTTGTGAATTAATATTTAGATGCGACAATTTGAAAGCAGAGAAGTACACACCTTGGATTCAAAAGCATTTTCTCATCCAGTTGACAAAATATGAGGGTATCATCAGTAAAAAAAAGATGTGAAATCTCAAAAAAAAATTTGAAATAAAATAATATAAGAGTATTATTAACAATGGTATCAAGGGGCTACCACCCGTATACATATTACGGATTTTCAAATCAATCAAATAGTCAATAATATACTCAAAATCATCTAACCTTTTAATGTCATGACTCAAAATCAAAAATCCAAAAGAATACAGCCTAATTTGAACAAAATTCCTCTCAACCCTACAAAACTCTAACATTTCTTTCCTTCCACACCACCCAAAAGATAGATAAAGGAATAAGTAGAAAATGAGCTCTTTTATTACATAAGCCCGCCCAAGCCCAAACCTCCTCTCTAACATAACCCGCAATGACCCAGTTCAGCCCCAAAAAGCCATAAATTATAGTCCAAATGTTGTAGACCACTGGACATGCAAAATATGGTTGCAAGTTTCAGGCCCCAACTTACACAGATAGCATCAGTTAACCAGGATCTTCCCCCTTTGTTTAAGCATGTCAATCGTCAATATGCTCTCCCTACAAGGTTCCCAAGCAAAAAAAGCCATTCTGGGAGGAGATTTTGTCTTCCAAATCTGCTTGACAGGGAAAACCAAACACGCATTATCCATCCCACCTTGAAGCTTGCAATAGAAAGATTTTACAGAAAAGTTACAATGATTTACAAGGTTCCACGCCCTCTGATCACTGTGATTATCCAGTTTATATTGGAAAGTAAACCCAATAGTTCTTGATACTCAACAATTTCCAACCATTCAAGTTTCTGCACAGCCGCACCATCCAATCCCATAGATATGTGAAACCTCAATCTTGTGGTTGCCTTTTTCCCACCTCGACACCTCTCAACAATTCCACCACCTTTGCCCCCTCCAGTAAGCCATGTAGAGCTTTCGTAACAATGATAAATAAAAGAGGAGATAATGGATCACCATGACGCAATCTCCTAGAAGCCTTAAAAAAAGTAGATGGGCCCCCATAAACTAAGACAGCAAAAGTAGTAAAAATACACCACCGCATCCACCTCCTCCACTTCTACCCAAACCACATTCTCTCCAACATCTAATCCATAAAATTTCAACTCATATCATCATACACCTTCTCCATATCTAGCTTACAAAGTACCCCTTCCCTCTTGCCTCCCACCAAACCATCAACAGGTTCATTCGCCACCATAACCACATCTTGCAATCGCCTTTAATCATAAAAGAGTATTGGAGAGAGTTTAAGAAGAAAACTATTCACTACAGAATCAAATCCCAAAAGCAGAAGATCTTACAGTTCTGGAAGTGAATTATGTTTCTATTTAACAGGGAGATTTTTCCACAGATACCCTTCTGTTAGGTATCAGGTTCCTACAGTGCGCAATAAGGTGTGTTGTAGAAGGGGAGAAGGGCTTAAGCCAGGATAAGGAATATTGGTAGTTATGAGTAGTTATGAGAATACCCATTAGCATAACTGCTTCACTTTGTCTTAAAAGACCAACCTGTCTTTGTTAAACAGAATATGAAGGAAAAACTAATTTATAAGTTTTGAGTACTTGCCTTATTCAAGAGATCGTTGGATTTTCTCTTAACAGGTCCATAATCTAGTTTCAAAATAGGAAGGGACGAACTCTGAAACATTCTTCTATTCCTGAGAATTTCTATGTGAATCGTCCATCTGTTAGTAGGGACCATAAGCCACTAACGAACTAATACAAAACTAAAAAATCTTCTTAAGCTTTGATTGGCAACAAATGCTGTCTATAATTCTAGGCTACCCGAACAAATGTGATGCAGAAGATTACATCTCCGCCATATTACCTCTTCAATGACTATACAATGAACAAAGTACTTCTGAGCAATAATCCGTTTCAGAGCATTTCCCGTCTAATGAGCTTACAACTGTTCTCAATAATTCAAAGGGCACTAAGATAATGTTCTCCAGAATTCTCTCAAGATTCTGAATGAAAAAGAACAAACCAAATATACAATCTCTGAATGCAAAAACTCAATACTAGTTTGTGAATGTTAATTGTAAGACTAATATAATAGTGGTACCTGTAGGGGTGTCAAACGCAGGTAACATCCGTCGTGCAAGATCCTCAGCTAAGCCAAGTAATTGATTATCATAGGACGGAATTTTCATGCCCTGCAACCATATCATGAAAACTAAAATTCCAAAGATTAAAAATAGATTCTAAAACAGATACATCAGATTCACCCATATCTCAGAACACAGTAAAATTTTCCAGTGAACTTGCAAATGAAAACAATAGTAATATTCTTTTTTGGAAAGAAAAATATGATAATACTTGACATAGCTGTCAAGATGATCCCAAGAACACCAAAGCAGACTTGAAAGAGATCACAAGGTAATAGCAAGCATTAACTATCTATGGCTGGAAAACCTAGGCCTCAAAATATAACTTGATATCAAAGAAAAACCAGAAAGCTCCAGAATTGCCTCTCAACTCAGGACGCAATGGCTAAGGGAAACAATTGTATGTCATTCTAGTATTTTTGATCAGATTCTCTACACGGGACTGTGAAAAGAACCAGCTTAGGAAGAGAATGGGACATGACCAAGACAAGATGAAAATGGCACATGACAGGGCTGCTAGGGAGTCTCAACACCAGAAATGACCAATCACGATGCACAGAAGCATAAAATGAGATACTAAAGTAGAAATATTTCAATAGTAAGAAATATTGATGTAATAATAATGTTTATTATTATTAAGGTATTTAACTTATTTAGTAATTATTAGCTATAGGTTTATTATTAGTATGAGTTTATAATTTCCTATTCAGTTAGAACATTATATGATTATTTTCTATCATAGTTTATTTAATTAATTACCTATTTTCTATTTGATAGAATTCCCATATAGACAGATTGATTATTTTGATTATATTTGGGTACCCATAAATAGGGTACATAGCAAAACATGTGGAGAAAGAATGATCTTCAAAATTCTACTAGGTCTAAACAAAAATTTGGATGAAGTTAGAGGAAGAGTTTTAAGTACTAAACCTCTAGCTTCTATGGTCTATTCTAAAGTGAGACGAGAAGAAAGTTGGAAAAAGGTAATGATGGATACTCAAGTTGAGGCTCAAGACTTCACCACTTCTCCTTATGCATCAGCACTTTATGCTCATCGCCCAAATTTGAATAGTTATGGAATCCAATCAAGGAAAAATGGCCCGCCATGGTGCGACCATTGAAAGAAACCAGGGCACACAAAGGACACATGCTGGAAAATACATAGGAAGCCTGTCAATTGGAAGCCCAAGATAGGTACAAGATTGTTCCTAGAGACATGTTGTTCACTAAAGAACAATTGCCGTTCTCGCAAAAGCTCATCAGCCAACAAAATGTACCTGAAACCATTGGGATAGATACCATGTCTCAACAAGGTAATCTCCCTACAATTTTGACCTCAGAAGGAAATC